CAGTTTGCGGACAATCCTTGTCGGTTTTGGGCAAGGAAGAGATTTTGGAAGACAAGTTGCAGGTTGAGTTGCAGGCGGGACTCATGGCCGGCCCATTTACTGCTCCACCTTTTCCTAATTTACGTATCTCTCCTCTGGGCTTGGTTCCTTTAGATTGATCCAGCATCTGTCCTATATGTCAGGTGGGTCGGTAAACGATGCTATCGGGAAGGACATTTGTCGCGTGCGATACGCGTCTTTCGACAGGGCTTTGGAGTTAGTGCATGGTGCCGGGCAAGGTGCTATGTTGGCAAAATCCGACATCGCATCAGCCTTTCGTCTTTTACCGGTTCACCCCTCATGTTTTCATCTGTTAGGCTCTTCTTTCAAAGGGGCCTTTTACCCATGGGCTGTTCAATTTCTTGTTTTTATTTTGAGATGTTTTCCTGTTTTTGGAATGGGTGACGACACAGGAGGCGGGTTTGGCATCGGCTACTCATTACCTGGATGATTTTCTTTTCGTCGGAACCCCGGGATCAGGTGAGTGTGAGCGGCTATCACAAGCGTTTCGGGCGGTCACGGGATATTTCGGGGTCCCCGTCGCGGAGGCTAAGACGGTGGGCCCCGTTCAGGTTCTGTCCTTTCTGGGGATAGAGATCGACTCCATCGGTATGGTTTTCCGGTTGCCTGCAGAAAAATTGTCTGTTCTCTTGCGACTGATTGATCTGGTTCGTGCGGCGAAAAAGGTACAGTTGCGTCAGATGCAGGTGCTTCTGGGGCACTTGGGCTTCGCATGCAGAGTACTTCCCATGGGGCAGGGGGCGTTCTGCAGGCGCCTCTCTCTGGCAACGGTTGGAGTCCGGGAACCATTTCATTTTATCCGGGTCACACGGCGTTTGCGGGCAGACCTTCAGGTGTGGAGCTCCTTTTTGGAGCGCTACAATGGTCGCTCCTGCTGGCGGCGGTGTCTAATGCCGAGTTGAATCTCTTCACAGACGCATCTAGCACCGTGGGTTTTGGGGCATACTTCCAGGGACAATGGTGTGCGGAGGTGTGGCCTGCGAAGTGGCACCGCTTGGCTGTGATGCGAAATCTGGCATTCTTAGAGCTGTTTCCCATCGTGGTCTCCTTCGAACTTTGGGGGGAGGCTCTTGGCAACAGGACAGTAGTTTTTCACACGGACAACATGAGCGTGGTCCATGTGATAAACCGCTCCTCATCCAGTTCCCCTCCGGTTCTTGCGCTGCTGCGCCGGTTGGTTCTACTTTCTTTAAGGTATAATATTTGGATTAAAGCATGTCATGTCCCGGGGGTTCATAACGAGGTTGCTGACTCTCTTTCTCGGTTTCAGTGGGACCGTTTTCGGGAGTCGGCTCCATCGGCGGAGGCAGTGGGAGTCAGATGTCCGGTTTCCTTAGGGGAGATCGATTTGGAGGATTGAGAAGTTTGGTTGCAGACTCCTTATCTTCCTCTTCATGGAAGGCTTACCTGACCGTCTGGCGGTCCTGGCTGTCCTTGTTTTCGGAGGGCATGGTGCTGGGGTCGGAGTCCGGGCACTTGGTGGCGACGCTGACGATGCTAGAGTTGATGTTTGTGCAGGGTAAGTCATGTTCTGAGGCCGAAAAGACTTTGTCCGCTCTGTCTTTCCTGTGTCGCTTTATGGGCTGGCAAGATATTTCCCGGTGGTTTGGTATTCAGCGAGTTATCCGTGGGTGGAGACTTCGGAGGGGCCCAGACCACAGGCGCCCGGTGTCAGCCGAGTTGCTGGGACGGATTCAGTCAGCCCTTGGGGCGGTCTGTTTCTCGGCCTATGAGGTCTCATTATTTCGGGTTTCATTTGCATTCTGTTTTTTTTTGGAGCCTTTAGGGTGGGCGAATTGGTGGCACGCAACCACAAGGCGGTCGGTCCGCTTGTGCTTGCGGATGTCCGGTGGTCCTTGGACTACGTCAATGTCTTCAAGACGGACCAGGTAGGTAGGGGTTCTTGGGTACGGATCGGTGCTACAGGTGGGATGTTTTGTCCAGTACGTCTCTTCTTGGACTATTTGCAGATTAGGCCCGAGTGGTGTCTTCCCTTCCTGGTTCATAGGGATGGGTCCCCCCTCACACGCTTCCAGTTTTCGACCAGGTTCCGGGCTGCGCTGGCTGAGTGCGGGATGAATACTCGCCAGTACTCGGCTCATTCTTTCCGTATAGGGGCGGCCACCCAGGCTAGTTTGTGGGGTTTCTCAGATGCAGCGATTCAGCGATTGGGTAGATGGGGTTCAACTTGCTATAGGTCTTATGTCAGACCGCATTTACTGTGACACATTTTCTCCGTAGGTCCTCGGCCTCGCTGCGTCTGGATACTGGGACATTCATTCTTATATTGGGCAGCGCGGCTAGTTGCGGAGCGTCCCTATGGGAGAAATTTGGGTTTTCCCTACGATGTAGCCAGGGTAAGGTGGAGGGGTATCAGGGGGATGTTATGGCAGCAGTTGTATTCCGAATGTGTATCCTTGCGTCGGTACGTGTCGGGGCCAGTGACTCTGGTTATTCATGTGGGGGGAAATGACCTAGGGCGCAGCAGGTTAGTGGACCTCCTGCATGCTGTTAGACATGATCTGGCGCGCTGTATGGCCCTCTTCCCCGATTTGACCCTTATTTGGTCGGACATAGTGTCCAGACCGTGTTGGCGTATGCTTCCTCATGCAAAGGGCGTGGAGCATTGTAGGCGCAAGTTAAATGTGGCTATTGGTAAGTTTGTCCGCCACCTCGGCGGGTTTGTCGTTAGGCACAGAGAACTTGAAGGGGACAATTCCAACCTCATGCGTAAGGATAGGGTACACCTCTCACTCATAGGGTTGGATATCTTCAATGTGGGGCTTCAGTCTGGTATTGAGGAGGCGCTGGCTGCGGAGGGGCGCGGTTCCTCCCAAGGGAGCAGGTAGGGAGGGACCGCGGTGGCGGTAGTCCTGGCCAGCGAAGAGGATTGGAAGGAAGTGCCCAAGCGGCTTGGGGAGTCGCAACCTGCTGAGAGCTGATGGCGGGGCAGGCTGCTCCGGACTCGTGGGTCATTTTGATAGAGCTGTCTGTTGGTAATCCCCCAACAGCTGAAGGTTGTGGACGCTGGCGATAATCTGTTGTTAATCAGTTAATAAAGCTGTGGCGTTGCCCTTACCCATACAGAAGGTGTTGTGTATTTATTGGGCAACAGGGGGTGGGGGGGTTTGGGTCTGGGTCAGCAGTCAAGTACCTCCCTGGAAATATAAGGAAGGGAGGACATGACTGCTGGCAGGGATAAGGGGCTGGTCTATAAGGGGATACATTGTGGCACTTGGGGTACGTTAAGAGGGGAGTAAAGGGGAGGGTACTCACCAGTTCCCGGGCAGAGGTTTAGTGTGGCTAGCTTCCCGCCCGCCCACCCCAACATGTTTACGATGGTGTTGCTGTGGTTGTGTGCTGTTGTTTTCTCTGTTTTGTCACAGCTCGCGGTAGTCCTGGCCAGCGAAGAGAATTGGAAGGAAGTGCCCAAGCGGCTTGGAGAGTCGCAGCCTGCTGAGAGCTGATGGCGGGGCAGGCTGCTCCGGACTCGTGGGTCATTTTGATAGAGCTGTCTGTTGGTAATCCCCCAACAGCTGACAGGTTGTGGACGCTGGCGATAATCTGTTGTTAATCAGTTAATAAAGCTGTGGCCGTTGCCCTTACCCATACTGAAGGTGTCGTGTATTTATTGGGCAACGGGGGGTGGGGTGGGGGGGTTTGGGTCTGGGTCAGCAGTCATGCTTAGGTGTGTCATGCCATATTAAAACTATGTCGTCTACATACCTGGTATATAGCGCAGTCTGCTAAGAATATTTATATAACACTAGGAGGGTCCGAAACGTTAGTCACTAATGTAATAATCACGATGTGAGAAGTTAAAATAAAGATAGAATTATGTTGAATTTAAGAAGTCCTAAGGGTGTTCCATTTTTTATATTGAAAATTGAATACAGCATTGGATGCACCAAGACAGGTGTATTTTTAAGGTTGGGTGTCCGTGTTTCTTAGTTTTGTATCCACAACATTTATCATTTTCAAAGCTACTGAATGAATGAAATATGCCATACTGATGCAGGCAGCAGACATACCTAGTTTCTGTGCACCATGTTAGTGAATATCTGGCAACTCCACCTCTGGTGCTCTCAGACTTTAAGAGTCCTTAAAAAGAGGACAATTTTAGGGAGTATACAAATGGCCATGAGAACATTTAGGGATGGGTTTTCTCAATTTGTTTTTCCATATATTCATTCATTCATTTATTTAAAAAAAAATAAAAAAAAATCCTTTCATTAGTTGACTAAAAGATTCTCAGATTAATATTACATTTCAACACTATTATTTTTAAACAGCTGTAACTCAGGCAGCAGCCAGTCACACTGGCCCCTCCCCCCTATGACGTGCACAGCACACTGATAAACAAACGGAATGGGGGCGTGGCGTTGTTACGGGCTAACATCAGTCACCGCCTCCTCCTCACGTGACTCTGTGGTCCTTGCCCGCGTGCGACTTAAAGATTAGGCGCGTGCGCATTTTGTCTTTTATGCTCTTTCTATTGGCTCTTCGGTTGCCCTGGGTGATGGCAGTGGGCGTGTCCAGTAACCGGGGAGCTGTTGTGGGTGCTGCTGGCCGGGAAGTAACGGGTGTCAGAGAGCACGGTGTGTAAAGGGTGAGTGCTGCTCTGTGGGCATTACAGCGGGATCAGGCTCTCACACTCTGTGTGCATCTCTCCGTGCAGGGACACACAGAGCGGGCCAGAGCGGGCCGGACACGGTAAGGATAAGCAGAGGGTCACTGCAGGTCAGTGTCAGTGTGACAATAACACCTGGCTCTAACCTCAACATGTTCACCATAGTGTTTAGCCAGCAGGTAGCTGGGCATCATGGGAAATGTAGTCCACAAATGGTGGAGTACCAAGTTTATCCATCAGTTTATATATATATATAAATACATACAGTCTGTGTTACTCTTATTACTGGCCATGGGGGGATGCACCTAAATGTCTTTAAACCATGACAGTCTGAACAGCTGAACACTGAGCCAATCAACATGTAGACTTTCACATGGATTTAAACTATAATTCTCAGTTCAAATATAGTTTTGTTGGGGAGATACTTAGTTTCACTGTAATGGATATAAGCCCTTGGGACTTGTTTACATATTGAATTGGAAAAAATAATGTCCAAATGTAATTCTTGAGGAAGCTCACAGTGTGGAGAAAAATCTATTATACATTTACTAGAATATTATTGGGATTCTATACAAGTAATGTCGTATAGATAGAACATGCAGTTTCCAGCAGTAACAGATCTTTGAGCTTCAGAGAGAATCTCTGAGCAGGGATATATCTGACTAGTTTCTGCATTCCCTAGGACAGTGATGGCGAACCTTTTTGAGCCCGAGTGCCCAAACCGCAATACATGCCAACTTTTTTTCCCTCAAAATGCTAACACTGCAATTAAACCTGAATACTGAGTTTTAAAGGGACGCTTCAGGCACCCAGACCACTTCTGTCCATTGGAGTGGTCTGGGTGCCAACTCCCACTACCCTTAACCCTGCAACTGTATTTATTGCAGTTTTCATAAACTGCAATCATTACCTTGCAGGGTTAAAGGGACATTTTTAATGCTTTCCTATGGAGAGGTCTAATGCCGCGCATG